TTTGCTTTAATAATGTTCTACTGTATTTCCAAATAATGATTTTAAGTTTTGAATCTTTGTGTCGATCCTTAATCACCTGTGTAACTTTTATTAGCTTTGTTAACATTTTAAAATCCGATCAGGTATCCAATTTGACCAACACAATTTATTAACTAGGTTATCCTTCGTCATTGATTCGGAACGATTTTATCGTAAATTTTATTATGAGTCGAGTTCTCAGGCAGGCATTGATCTGCGGCCAGATTGCTGACGTAGCATTTCTGCATGGATTTCGGCCTGTTTCCATCGTCGTTCATTTTTGATGTGCTTTAGTGCCAGGTAGCGTAGTCCCTCCTTTCGTTCTTAAATGTATTTCTTAGCTTCTCAGGCTTTACCCTTCCAGATTAATTTTATGTATTTATAAATTTTTATTAAAAGTTCAAATTAATTTTAATTAGATTTTATTAAATTTAAAACTTTATTTGTAGAAAATTTGTAGGTTTAAATTTCGTTCTTCCCGCGGCGAGACCTGCTCGTCCCCATTGATTAGGGTGTCATTGTGTGTTCTACTGTAGGTTTCTAATTTTTTTAAATAGAAGACCCCACGGCGTGCGGCCGGGTCTCCGCCGTGGGGCCCACCTACCGTCACAGCTGGGCAGCGCGTGGTTCCACTGGTGGCTCCCCTCGCACACGAGCGGCTCGTCGTCACTCAGCGTGTACCCGGGGTCGCAGCTGAAAGTCACTGTCGACCTGATGCCGAAATCGCTGCCGTGCCGATGGCCGTTCATGGGGACCCCCGGGTCCAGACAGGAGTCTGACTCCAGAGTCACACCTGATGCCCAGAAGGAACACGTCAAACAAGGGTCATTCTGGTTTAGAGAAAAGAACAACATTTCTGGGCCCTAATATACCTGAAATATTCCCAGACGTGATCGGGTCTGGAAATTATGCAAGTGAATCCAATGATCCATTCACGTAAAAAATACATTTTCTAATATTTACCTATGTTTTTCCGCAGAGAGATGTGTACTGTTCCATCATTTACCAGATACCGAACAGTGCAAATGAGTAATGTGTTGACCTCTTTGAACCTCACTCTTCATTTGAAAATCAATAATCTGTAGCGAAAGAAGCCCAACCAAATCCTTTCCTGTTTCCCGTCTCCTTCCCGTCCCCTCTTCCCTTCCTTCTGATATTTTACGTTGCAGCAGGATTCTGGCGGTCGCACTTCGGAAGGGTTTTGTATACATGCGGACATACGCCTCAGCCCCCACACACATAACACAAACTAAATCTGCCCTCCGCTTGATAGTCTACAACTGCATCCCATAAATTCACACGTAGTTGTTAAATGTGCATTTAAGTCAGTCGCTTTCAAGATGTCTACAGTTAGCTTACGCTGAAAGATATTGAAAAGTAAAATGGTATATAAAATCAAGTGTAGTCATGCCATCGTAAGAATTTATTTTCTCTGTCTAACTTTTCTATTTATTTTTAGACTGATGTATATTTTAAGAATAAGGAAAATGGGAAGATGAGAAGCGGGTATCATGGTGATGTGCACAAACGCAAAGAAATTAAAAAAAGACCTCACTGTTGCCCCACACAACTCAGCAAGGTTCGGAAAATCAGTTAGGACTTGAACTATTAATCACAAATCTTGAATTGTCACCAATATTCAGACTGTCTGGTCCCCCCAAATGATCTCTGGGCTAACACTGCTGACCATTATACTTTGAGCGATGTACCTTATGAATATACCTTCCTTCATGAAGTCGAATGCATGAAATATGAATAAAGAGTGACTTCTTAAAATGAATAAGTGATATTTTTTCATTAGTAAAGAAAATGTGACTCACTAGGCACAGGGAGGGACATGGGTAGGACACCTGAGCCACTATCAAAATTGCATAGTAAAGAGAGTGGCCTCCGCAGACAGCTCTACCTCCTGGGAGGCATCTGCCAAAGCCGGGCACGTCCTGCGTGGTGGGAGCCTGCTATTCACGGAGGACCCCTGGGACCACACCTGAGAGTTCATACTGGCCAGGTGGCTAGAGGTGGGCCCCTGGCGCCAAATGACTTTAGTCCAGCCTACAAGGAAGGGGGCCGCTGGAGACTGAGCTCCACCCTGCGGTCGAGGATTCAGTCGAAGACGCCTACGCAGTGAAACACCAACTCTGTGGACACAGAGCTCAGGTGACGCCGTAGGCTGGCAGCACCCTGTGCATGCTGTCACACCCCACGGCTGGGAGGAGGTGGCACTGTGACGCCGTTCATGATGCCGCGGGGAGACGACCACTGGAAGCTCGAGTCTGACCTGCCCCTCGGGTCCCACTCCCCATGTCTCTTGCTCCGGCCGGCTCTAACTGGAATGCCTTCAAATGATGCACGTGGCTACGAGTGTGACAGCTTCCGGCGGCTCTTCCTAGCGCGTTACCAAACCCGAGGTCATCCTGGGAACTCCCTGAACTTGCCGTTGGGTTCGGAACCACCAGAATGTGCAGACTTTGCATGTCTGTGCTCTTAAACTCATGGTTTGGTTCCATCACGTTAAAAAAAAAGGGGGCGGACAGACTTGTAGTGAAGCCATCTGGATTTATGGAAACGAATGGCAGGGCACACGTGACATAGGGATGGCCTTGCAAAACACACTGCACCGTAACGTTTTATCAACTGATGTTCAATATTTCCAACAAGTATTCTTGAATATTTGTAACAGTTGTTAATATTAACAGTTATCGGTCACTTAGTAACTTCTGTGGGGTGTCAGGTCCTGTGTTCCACACGTGCTCTCTACCCAGTAACGCTGTGTCTGTGCACTTGCGGGCGAGAACCACGATTGCCCAAACCATGTTTTCTAGCAAAAAATACAGTTCAGGATGGATAATCTCAGCGCTGTGCCCACCTCGCTAGATCCCGTGGCCAGCAGGGGCGTTTCTAATGGCAGAAATCTGTTGTCACATCATGCAGTGAGGGAGCGCAGTTCACTGCTGCGTTTTCGGATTTTACTTCATAATAAACCAATGTGTCCTTTTGACTTTTAAAGTAAACGTCCCTAAGCTGCTCCCTGTCACGGGGAAGTTAGGACGGCTGGGCAGGGCCGTGCGGGCAGCGCGTCTGCGGCCATGTGGCCGCCCCACGCCCAGCGGGGACACTCACTCTCGTAGCGGATGAGGAAGCCCACGCTGGCGCGGCTGCTGTCCGTGGTGAAGCGCAGGGACAGGAAGGGGCCGGTGCTGACCAGGAAGTGCGGCGCCTGCGAGCCGTGGAACTCGCCGATGAGCTGCGACGAGGCGGCCGGCCCGTCCCGCACCTCCAGGGTGTCGTAGTTGACCTCGGTCTGGAACCTGCGGACAGGTGAGGGCGGTGCCCGCGACGATGAAAGAGCGGATGTCAGAAGACGCAGGTGTGGACAGCGGCTCAGGCTCGCGGACGAGGGCCCGGGCCGCGACGAGGACGGCGCTCTCCTGCAGAAGAGGTGCGCCCGCGCCCCCCAACCCCTGCCCGCACCCCTCACCCCTGACATCCTTCCCTCCC